ATTCTTAGCTAATGACATTTTGGAAAAAAAAAAACAAAACTGAAGTGAGGGATCATTTTCATTCTGTTACAGTAAGAGCTTCAGGCTTTCAAATGGATAAACACTTTGCAATTTGAGCTGTGTGAGTCATGTTTAACAAGGTAGAAGTGTGCAGAGAATTAGTGTCTATAATCTTGGGTTTCCGTAGCCTCACTGAACTAACTTAAGAAAGATGAAGAAGTCATGAAATGCCAAGATTCAAAATACAATGTGTTCCTCTCTGTCCAAGGATTGAAATCACTCTTGAAATCATCACATGGAGAAGGCTGCCATGGAAAAGAGGAGCCTTTCACTCACAGTACAAACGGGGCACTAGAGTCTTTCACAGGGATAAGGGACCAAGATTAGGCCCTGGCACAGTTCTGCAATCAGACTGAAGGCTGAGTCTGAAAATCATTGCATCTGTGAGCCACACTTACGTGCAGATTTCTCTGAAGGCAACAGTTGGTATGAAAGAAAATGAAATTAAAGAGATTACTCATCTGTGTAAACCCACATCCAAGTGGAGGAAAGAAAGAGCACTGCATGTAAGAGAGAAGCAGTCCCATCCAACCATTCCTGCCTCTTACAGAATCAAGCTTCATGTTTAGCTTTACCTCTTTGTTCCCTGCATTTCATCCTTGATCCTGAGCTTTCCTCAACTCCTATTTCTCTTCTATTAATCTGTCACTGAAACGTTCTGTGACTGTCACCTTTGTTTAAATTCTCATGTATATCACTCTTCTCTGACCTTGACTTCTGCAGTTCCTTTTTCTGTGATGTTCCCAAACTCCACCATGCAGCGCCTGTACAATTAAGCTGCCTTACTTCCAGAACATCCAGAAAGCTCAACTTTTTCTACTCTCAAATAATTCTACATATCTCTGTATCAAATCCAATTTACCTGTCCCACTACAAATCTATTGCCCAGTTTGGAATTTCCACCCATTTATTGTGACCCATTCCTTCCTTATTGATTTATTTCTTTCTTTTAAAAATGAGAAGTCACTATTGTTTAGAAAATTCAGTTCCATTTGGAATGGCTTTTCTGTCTACTGCCATGTCACTTAAATTTTAGCCAATTTTTTATCTCTTATTTATTTGTTTGTTTGTTTGTTTGTTTATTTGAAGTCAGGGAGGTTGTATCCATCTGCTATTATTTTGGCCCAGAAATGCCTCTGAGCCAGAAAAAAAAAAAACAAAAAACCACAAAACAAAACAAAACAAAAAAACCATCATACTTTAATTCTTGGGTTTTTTGTTTTGTTTTGTTTTTCTGCAATTCTGAGTTTATTATATATATACAAATACATATAAAGTGGTTTATTCTATCATGTGCTTTAAAAAAGACACATATGAAATTGTTGATATAAATTGAAATTGCTCTGCATCTCTATTTCTGGAAGTCCTTGTATTATCTTTGGCTAATCACAGATTCATGGCTGAATACTAAATATTTGTACATGTAAGCCCCAAAGACAACTAAATTTCTTTTTTTCCTTTTAACTAGGAATGCTATTAATTAATGCATACCTAAATGATTAAAACCATTTTTCAAATAATGAACAATACATAGGCAGACGAGTTAATTGATTGATTGGTGTATGAGCAGGGTCCTAATGGATTAGTATTTGCATGTTAACATAGATCCAATCTCTCTTAATGAGCTGCTTGCCACATTTTGTCTTCTTTGAAACAGCAGTGAGCATGATAAAACAAATAAACCCACTGGACTGCTCCCTCTCGAGGGACAAAAAGACAAATTTTAAATAGCCTCTCTCCAGCACTGATTTATAGAAACACTTTGTGCAGCAGTGTACAGGTCCCTGTGTATCCTGGTGCACAGGGCCAATCGCACTGTATTGCAGGTTCCTTCTGAAAAGGGACATCCTGCAAATCCTAGAATTTACAGCCACTGCTTGTAAGATGCTTATAAGGTGACTTTTCCTGCAGTGATCTGGAATTTGCCTCAGCTGGTTTTACTGCACAAGACGGTGGGATGTCACTGACCATCTCCGTCAGTGGCCTTTCTGCTGCCATCAGCAGCAGGGCTGTGCATGACTGTCTGACATAGTCTTCCTCAAGGAACAGACCTGAATCATTTCAGGTAAGTAGAAAGTAATTTTTAATCACTGGGCTCACTGAAAAGGATTTCAAATCTAGCATCCTCAGTATGCAAGGGCTAGGTATGGGCAGTGCCATGAAGACAAAAGCATTTGATGCATTTCCCAACAGTAGCGTGTCCACTCTAACAGGGAAAATCTATTTTCCTCTCCGAAGTGGGGTTGGTTCCTGCTTATTCAAGTGTAACTAGAAAACAAAACATTTTCACGTTTTGGGGTATGAAAAGCTACTGTTGCTGTCACCAGGTAGAGCTGTGTGAATTTGGTTGTAGTATCATGCAACACTGCAGGGAAAAACAATCTCCTTAACACCAGACACACACAGCAGTAACCAGGACTTCTCGTAGCTAAGTTAACTGGCAGTCCAACGGGCTTCTGAGAGCCAACTCAACATCACAGTATGGAACTACACTGCTGCACCATATACCAAATGCTCTTAAGCCAGCTCAGAGTTTTGTAACACACTGTTGGTCTGAGCTGTGTAGACATGCCCTTTGAGTTCTTGGCCCATGGCCTTCATTAGAGACAACTGGCATAGATGTATTTCAGCCGCTTCCCTGTTTACACATGATGATGATCTGTGTTTTGGCCATGGAGCACAGCTCTGCCTTCTGCTCAGCTGGCTGGCCGTGAAGGCAGCCATTGCTGGGTTTTGAACTTGGCATTCAGGGTCAGGCAGAGCGACACTTCAAAGCTGCCAGGCTGTCTGAGGTTTCTAGGAAACCCATGTGACCTTCTGCTACCTGACACTTCCTTGCATTGTTTTACTAACCTCCCACAGCTTCTGAGGTCAACATTTGCAGTGGATGCATGGAAAGACTCATGCAGGCCTTAAGCCAACAGGTGCATTATCAGCAAAAGGCAATCTGAGCACCCAAGTGCTGGGGGAAGCAGTGAGGAGCCAGCAGCTCTGGTGCGATGCAGTCTTCAGGGTGAACAGCCTTATGATGAACTAGCTGCAGATTTTGAACGACTTCTGTATTCAGCCATGAGGAAATTGTGCTGCTGCTTCAATTGATGTGGTTCATTAGATAAGAAAGGTATTCTCATCTAAGGCATACTGTTTAGAAAATGTCATCATTTGTGTTCCCTACACCAAATGCATTTTAGTCTCTCTTTGAATAATACAGGTAAGTAATTCATATAGGGATTTTTTTTACTCAAATATATTGTTTCAAATTTGTTGTCCTAAGCTTAGCATTTAGGCATTATTTGCTTATTTATCTTAATACAGAACCTTTTCTTTCCTGTACAGAGGCTTAATTTTAGACTCCATCAGCCTCTCCTAATCATTTCAATTCTACAAGAAATGGGAATAAAAATCTCAGGAAAAAAAAATCTAATAATGTTTGTAATACAAACTATAATTACAAGACTCACACTCATGATTAATGGAAACCATCAAGAAATTTTAGAAATGCAAGCTAAAGCATTTTGTTACTGTAATAGCATCTGTAAATATCTGTCACATTTTCATGGAAAAAGTATTCCAGGCATGTGCAGTTTTCTAACTATCACCTGTCTATCTGAGCATGATAAATACAACAAAAAGAAGCCATACAAAAGCATTGACATTGATATGAGTTTTCCATTGACTTCTATCAAACAAGAAACAAGTGCAGGGGCTTAGAGATTGTGTTTCTTCCTGGATCTTCCACTCCCTCAGCCTCCCCCATGCCTGCGTTACATCTGTGTACAGTCAGGTCTTTAGTGGGGAGAGTAGAAATTTTTATTTTTTTTTCCTACACTGTGTTATCTCAATATCCTTTGCTCATGCCAAGTCACAGCTTAGGAGTGCCAGATGCTTTTCTCTATGTCCATCTCACAAAGGTTATGTTTTTCAGTTCCAAGAGGAAAGACATATCGTTCCCAAACAATTGAAGAGATTTTTATCTGAACACAAACAAACATGTGCCATCCATAGAGAACATGGAAAATGTTTTTCTCCAGATCTGAAGTTCCTCCAAACAACTGGAGACTGAAGGGCTATTCTTCAATGCCCACTTCTGGAGCTAAGTTCAGATGGTGGGAAAGCACATCTGGGGACTGCAAGGAGTGCATGGCAGCAGAATACAGCCCATTCTTCTGTTTCTGCTAGTACTGGGACAGGTAATATTGAGAAGGGACGAAAAGCCATGAGAATGCCCTCCTACCACTACCTATCCATCCCAAAAGTTCCCAGACGAGCCGAATCTAAGGGAAGAGCTGAGGTCAGTTGTAGGTGTAGGTATTTGCAAGTTTGGAGCTGTTGGTGGGAAGGGAGAGAGTCATGCATTTTAATGGAAATCAGCTGTTCAACCTCACTAAAGTAAATAGCCCAGACTCAGAGCATCACCCTTACCCAGGTACCTGATGATATTCCTTTCCACTCTCAAACCCTTCTTCAAACCAAGTTTAAATCTTTCTGGTACTACCCTCAACTCACAACTTAATCCCTTGCCTCTCTATTTGTGAAATCTTATTTTTTATAATGTCATTTTCCTTCTCTTAGCCCTTTTTATTACACAAAAAAGACCACAGACCTGCCTTGGATCACTGTTCTCAGATACGTTTCTGTGTTGCTTCCTCACAGACATTTAAATGATGCTACTCCCTGCTGTGTGGTCCGTTAGACACAAGAAGGGTATGCGCAGTTTTGCCAGTGTGACTTTTTTCTCCAATGGCAATTAGATTTTAATTGCATTCTGTATATAAAGAGATTCAGTAACACAAACTATATAGCCATAAACAAGCAAGGTTTAGCTAAATTTAATTTTATATTCACTCTAAGGTACTCCAGACCAGAATAGACTAAATGCTTAGGAAACCTCTGATAAACAAATTCAATACAAGTGTACAAATTTATATCTTATCCTCTAATTAGAAATCTAATTTTACAGCCAGGTCCTTGGGTCGTAGTGTGTACCATTTCTTTTCTGTGAAGTGTCCAGAACTTTTGCTGTAGGTGGAGTGCCTAAACCTTCTGAGTAACAAACTGCTTCTCCAGTGTGTTCACTGAGAAGATAGGCTTGTAGACAGCACAACCATATAATGTCCCATCGCAGCCCTGTAGATAGGAAATATGAAGTATTAAATGAGAGTAAGAAGCTGCCAAAACAATTGTCATCAAATAATTAGTTCTTGCAGGGAAGACTTACAGCTGCGTAACTGCAGTGATTTATATAGTGATACGCTAACTGAAATGCTCTAGCAATGTATCCTTCAGTCTGACAGCCTTTATTTTAGAGGGGATATTTTGCTATCCTTCTATGTACCACATTACAGGCTATTCTATCTGACTGATATCCTCTGTGTTGTGGCATTATCATGCTGTCAACTCCCAAGACAGGGGCTCACCATTTCACAATGCTCATAGTTTCAAAACTCTGCTTTTTTAAGAGAAACAATGAGAACAAACTGAATAAGAGAAGCTGGCACTTTGGTCCTCTGTTGATGACCATAATCTATTCTATACATAAGGAACAATTAGACAATATAGCTTATTTCCCACTATATTTTCTGCCCAGTAAAATATAATATAAGCCATAAAAAATAAAAAAAAAAAAATGTCAAAGACAGAACTGTTTCGCAAAAGTAAAAGAGTCAGAATGGTCTTTTATAAAGCTGAGTGCAGCTTCAAATGTAAACACTGTTTACTTTGGGATGCGAATGCTCATAGAAGTGAAAGGTGTGATTTGGCTCCTGTGGATCTATGGAGCTTTCTATGACTGGTGGTGCTCTCTGGGGTAATTTATAAACTAATATTCCCTGCTGTGAGAACTATGGCAGGCTTGAGAAGAGAATAGCTCCAATTTTCATTCTAACACGGCTGGCTCACATCCAGAAACAGCAGAAGGAATTTGACACAAAAATGAGATTAAAGGGAAATTCTTGCCTGCACAGTGTTAGTGGCACTTTGCAAAAAAAAAAAAAAAAAAAAAAAAAACACCAAAGCAAACAAACAACAACAACAACAACAAAAGCCCCATGAGCAGAGATGTATAAAGGTACCATATAGTTGATAAGTAAAATTATATGTAATAGCAAGGTTGAATTGTTCAGATTACAGCCACAAAGAATTTGTATGGTGTACCAAAAAAACACACACACACACACACAAAAAAAGGATAATAAAATGATATGAATGAGAAGAACAGCTTGTTAAACCACAGCACTAAGTGGATCCTGAAAGCAATGTGGATTCTCTTCTTAAATATTGGATTTTTTTTATCTAGGTCAAAGGTTTCACAAGCTGCATGAATCAACAGATATAGCTGGGCTGAAGCTGTATACTGAAGCTCTTTGGAACTTCTAAAAATAGAAAACTGTTTAAACAAGATACAGTAGCGTTACTGGCTGCCTAGACACCATTCTATTTTAATAAGCGTCAGGGATGCTTTGGGGCATATCAAAAATAAATGGCACTAAGTAGGTAGGAAGCCAAGCTTCTGTGACTTCCAGTAGGACTGCAATGCAAATAAACTCCAGTGAAGTCTTTCTCAATCTCTCCAGGGTTATCTGTGCACCATTGTTTCCAGTCAACCATTTATAAACTCAGATTTGCTCATTATCCTTGTCTCAACAATAGACTCCAGTTGCTAATGCTTTATGCAATGTCAAACTTCAGCAAATGATAAACTAACTAAACTTACCCATTTCAGCTTCTCAAAAGAAATGCAGTAGGTTTTCTTTGAAAGGTTTAATTTTCTTCTGTTGGTTTTATCTGTGCGTGGTTCCATTGACTTCAATGGAGTTGAATACCATTTACTCTAGTGTATGTGAGGAAAGCAAATTAGAACCAAGGGATTTAAACTGCAGACTAAATAAATAAATAACCTTCCAAAATCCTGATCAGGTTGGATTTCAAAACAAATCTTCATGAATGAGGGAAAAAGAAATTACGTCAGGCACTTTTCCTGTCTTCCACACTTCAAGTCTAGTCCTTTGCTTCACAGTGGAAAGAAAAATCTTTTCAAAAAAAATTTACTGTTTCCAACATGATAAATATATTGAGCCATATATATGTAATAGTTATAATTCCATATGACTTAATAGAATTTTCATATTATTTAAATTTTTTGTAATTTTTTTTAATTCTCAATTTCTTTACAGAATGTGAGATAGAGTAATTGTATCTACATTACAGTAACCACATGAAATGCTTAATTTATATACAGATGCACGTGAAAGAGATTTTACACATTAATGCATTAAAAATAATAGAGAAGACATACATTCAAGAGGAAATCTTTCAGTAAAATTGAAGAGAGAGAAATTCAGAACCTCTTGTAAGATCACAATAGCATTGATTTGTTTTTATCCGGGATGCTGTGACTTGGCAGCATTATAGAGAACAGTTAAATACACGGACAGAGATTCTTTGAGGAACATTTTGTTTCTAGTTATGTACATGAAAGATATTTTATGAGAAGAAAGTTGCTGTAGTCACAGCCTAGCAAACAAAACTTACTAATTAACTACAGTCTGCACCACTTGCACTTAGCTACGTGCACTGGCTGACAACACAGCATTCAGTGCTGGTTTGCAAACAGATTTCAATATTCAGCGCACAGCTTCTGGGAAAGAGGCCATCTTTCTTCATGCTGTAGTTTAGGGATGTAACATTTATTAGTGACTTATGTTTATTTCTGCTGTCTTTGTGATGACAGGAGAGTTAGCAGCATTTTGAGTTCTCTAAATATATGTATAGGAATGTGGAAAAGAAAGGACTAACAGGAGGGAGGCAGCAGGGGAGGAATGTGAAGTGATGCCTGTGCAATGTTGGTTAGCAGTACAGCTGTCTGGAAAAACAAACTCTATTTTTGTGGAAAATGCAAAGGTTTTATAATCTCTTTATGCTCTATATTGGAATGAAAATGAACTCTATTGATAGAGTTCACCAAAATTAATAGAAGAAAAGTTTATCACTTTCTTAATATTTAATAACAAACCTCAACCTCTCATTTTTATTTCTCCCTCCTTTTCCCACTTTGACTTTCTCCTTCTGCAAGGCTCAACACCTTGAGCATCTACTGATCCAGCTCACCTTCCCTGCCACCTCTCCAGAATTCCTTCATTCCAGAATAAATTGTACCTTTACTTTTTAAAGCTTTATTTATGTATGTATTCATTTATTTATTTATTGATCCCTTAGCCTGAGGAAGAGATGTATTTAATTTGAGTGGGAAATGGTGAAAGCTTTTGTCAGCCTGTTTATCATGAACTTTCAGAGATAACAGGTATTAGCCTAATGCTGCATTCTGCCTCAAGAGTTCATGTACAGAATGGTGATTCCTCACAAAAATAAATTCTTTTTTTTTTTCTTTTAAAACATTCCTCCTCAAGCCATTTCCTGATTAATCCTTATAACACTTAGAAAAGCAACTTGAACTTGATAGAAAGCAACAGACCCTTATATGGGAAAATGCTTTATGGGAAAGCAAATAAAAGAAAGAATAAACCTAAGTTAGAAAGAGTAAAGCTGAAGTACACACACTTCTTTAGAAATATGATCTTATTTTTAGATGAATAACATTCATCCCAAGGGATTGCCATAGGTTAAATCTCTCGACAGTGAACAGAAATAATTTATAGACTTATAGTAGTGCATTTACTAGTTATGATCAAGTTTTTGGAAATTTTCCATGTTCAACCTAAAGTCATCAAATTGCAGCTTCAACTTCATGAAATTCATTGTGATTCCTCTTTATGTGTATACCCTCTCCTGCACGCATGCTCCAGCTGTTTTATAGTAGCCATGACTGAATTCATATATTCTAATAAAATTTGTGGAGTATGCTATGATGCTACAATGTTCTTCTAGTGATAAATGAAGTGATGCTTGCAGTGTATAAACTTCAAGATGATGTGCTATGTCTCTGTAAATGTTAGGTGTCATTATATGTTCTTCTAGGCCATGAAGAGAATTTCTGCTCTTGAATCTCCAATATAATTTGACTCTAATTTCCTCTACAGAGAGATTAAACCAGAGGAACCCCCTATCTCCACCTCCTAACACCTCTCAGAAATGTTTGATGTATGAGTTAATTTATTCTATCTCATAATTAGTCATTTTCTCTCACATTGTAAAAATGTACGATGTCACATTGCCCGTGTTCATTTTCCCATCAATATAGTAAGTGACATTTCCTATAATTAAGTAGAAATATTACATTAAACAATTAAGATGTACATATAATAAAAGAGAGAAGTGAAACAGAACCTATTTGCTGTGAGCATACCAGTGCTTACCAAAATTTGAACCTCTGTAATTCACATTTGAAATTGCACAATGAGGAAAACAAATACGCACAAATGGCACTGTTGATAATCTGGGAATTTTGTCTGCCCATCTTGAATCACCTCTAAAAGACCCCATAATTTTGCGTAATTAGCATAAATACAGTCAGACAACATTATTATGTATGCTGTCCCTGCACTTACAGCACAAGAAGAATTGTGTTACTTCTGCCCTGTGTCACTGTCATCATGATTTCAGCAAGGTCATCATATTTCCATGTTGTACTTAAAATGATGGTAATAAAGATGAAAGACATCCAGAATGTAGAAGACCTGACCCCCTCCAGGAAGATCCTTGATTTGAAATTACCATACAAATTTTAATCTTGAAAAAGAAAATTGTACAATCTGTGAAAAGTCATGAAAAGTCAAAGGGTGGTTAAAGGGTCACTGAAGCTGAAAAATTCTGTAATGAAAAGAAGTAGCCATCAGGGGATTTGTTATGATCGATTAATGAATTAACTAAAGATTAGATACCTTTCTTGCCTTCTTTTTTTGCTTTATCATTTTTTTTAACAAAAATTGAAGAAATTTCTCAGTCTATTGAGCAAATAATTGCTAGTTGAAGGCTACTGATACTATATATTAAATGTCAAATTCATGCTTGTTAAAGGATATTAGACAGATACATAAAAGTACTGTTGCTGTCGTGCTTGGTTAGATCTACATAAGAAAAGACTTTGGTTCTTTCTAACCACTTCTATGGAAAGTGGTCTTCACTAGATAGCTGAGGAGAAGGTAGAACACCCTTCTATCAAGTAGGTGTGATGTAAACTGCCCCTTTGCAGATAACATCTGCTTTTGAATGGCAGCATTAGAGCAGAAGGCTTAATAGTTATTTCAATAAGCGTTATTACATTGCTTGTTTACCATTTGCTACTACTCTAGGTACCACAGTTATATATGGAAATATTCCATCTCACTTGGATTTCTCCTTGTGTAATTGGTCTCATTTCCCCTGAGAATGATTTCTACCACCTAATTATACATTGCAGAAAAAAATTCCTTCTAATAGCTTCCAGATTGCCTTTCATTTTCCTTTTTGTTATACTACTTATCAGAGAAAAGGGACATTCTCATTCTACAATTTAAGTATCATTCTATGTTTCATAAGCTTTTGAGCTTTTGGTACATTAGCTCATATTCCTCTGCTTTCTCTTTCAAATCCTTTCATCATTAAAATCTCTCTTCTTGTGATGTTTATTTCTTGTTTATGGTCATTCTCATAATCTTTCTCAAAAAATGCTCACCATATGATATACTAATACAGGTCTTGATTCTTCAAGATCCTGACTGTAGTCCAAAAGATATCAAATTTAAAGAATACAAATATTTCCTATGCTCTTTGTGGGACTTTTTGTGCAAAATAAATGTTTGAAGACAGTGTTTAGGATGTCACCAGATATATGATTGGGCCTACAACCAGAAAAAAAACAAACAAGTGCCGTTTTCATTGGTCGCCTTAGAAAGACAATCTGTACAGCCTTGATTTCAGCTGCATACTCACATATTTGAAAATAAGCCTGCTGTTAAGCCTTTGCTTCTTTAGATAAATATCTGCACATGTTTGTTCCAGGAAGACCACACAGACGTATCCTATGACAATAATCTGCACGGAAAAAAAAGTGGTATTAAAAAAAGTAAAAAGCCAACTGAATTATGAAATGAAATTACAGCTAAAAACAATGACAATAAATGCCTTATACCACACGCAAAAAAAATATTGCGTCATTAATAAAGCTAAGTGGAGAAAAATTTTGCTTGTCACTTTCATTTATAACTTAAATTTTATACTTTAGCCTTACATGTTAGCTCAGTGCACTGCACATCTCTCAGGCAATTCCTCTCTGGCCACAGCAATCATGAGTTACTGTGGTTTCAAAAAGTGGTGAACTAGGTAAATTGAAACTGATTTTCAAGGATGAAATAATGGCCTAATTCAAGATCGTAGTATTTTTAAAGGAAAGGCAGTTGAGATAGAGAGATGGCAAGGAATTAATGATATGGAGGTTAAAACTACAAGTCCTCATGGATGTGGGAGACAAACTGAGAGGAACTTGTGGGGAATACTTAAACTGTCCTGAGATTAATCATTCGTGAGTCTGCACATGCCACTGATAATGGCTACAAATAGCACTGCTCTTGACCTTCTCGGTGATCCAGAGAAAAGCCCATTCTATGATCTAGCTTTAACAGATCATTCAAGAAACTTGCCAAATTCAAAGAAATGGATGAAAAATTAGGTACAAACATCACTTAAAACCATCACTTGGTTCCATGAAAAAAAAAATGGAAGAAATTGTGGTGAATTATCTCATAATCAGTTATGCAGCATAAGAGGCTGCTCTATCAGTGGTGTTAGTGAATAAGAATCTCAGTAATGGCTGTTTTGCATCTTATCCTGTACATTTTAGTATATACCTCATTCAAACACCAAATCAGGGGAGATTTACTGGGACTCAGTATAACAAGTCCTTCAGGTGTTAGCTGAATCTAAAGATATTTGAGGAAGAGGAAGGGAAGAGAGGAAGACAAAATGCCTATCATTACCAGCTTCAAGAGGAAGCAAAAACTCAGCTTCAAAGGAAACTGACATCAATAGATGCAAAAACATCTAATAAGCTTCATATTAATCTTCCCAAAATCTTCATTCTGACTATTATAGAAATTAATCATACTACCAACTCTTTTCATTCATCTGAAAGAATACGGCATATCTGTTACAACCAGGCATTGGTTTTAGTATGATATTATAAGTGAGTGATAAGTGAATTACATCTTTTATTATTTCTCTTATTTTGTAGCTCTATGCTTTTATGTGAGGGCAGCTTATGAACACCCTGTTGTAAACTGCAGAGTCATTTACAGTTTATTCCTGATGTGTTTCATACTGAAGTTGAGAACTCTGTTTCAGCAGATGAAATTCAATCTAAGAAAGGGAGAAGTCTAGAAATAAAAGTAAAAAGAAAAATTGCAGGAAGAAATTCATAATAGCTGCAGAAAAAAAAGACGTGGTAAAGATTCTGAGGAGTCTTGCATCTGCTGTCCAAGACAGTGATCAAAAATGTTGCTCATAGAACTTCATAGAGTCATTAAGGTTGGAAAAGACCTCTAAGATCATCATAATTTTGGGATTCAGCACTGGTACCACATAATGTCTATTTCATTTATCCAGTAGCAAAAGAATCTTCACAAAATATTCCAAAGCAAAGATCATGTAAGAATCTGTGCAATTCACAAATCCATAAACTGTGCTAGTAGCACTTCTTTATTTGAAATTTCTGTATGCACATATGCTGTAGCTACATTCAGTTGCAGCTGTAATTGTTTCCAGATTCCAAGTGGTTCCCAGTATCATTGCTTCTATTTGCTCCCAGCCTTCTTTATTTAAGCTCTGACTACAGTGTGTGAGGCTTCCTTGGATCAAGAAAGGTTAATAAAGGCAGGCTGGGGATCAAAAGGAAATATTCATTACCAAAGTAAATAAATGCACTTCTCACCTGTACCATCTGAACCTATCTAAACTATAAGAAGCTAGATTTAGATCTTTTGGTAGGAAGAGCTACTGTTTGCCACATCTACTAATTGATTTCATTTTTGCAGTTAAGCTTCACATACAATTTAAAAGCGTCTCTTACAACGCAGTCATAGACGACAGGCATTCCCTTGCCTATTGCCTGGCATAACTGGCATCTTCAAGCACTATCAGGCTATAAGGAAATAATCCATCATATTATGTAAGTATATACTGAAGCTCGTCCTTCTACCATAAAATATTCATATAGATAAACTTTAATGTAATCTTAAATCTAATCTTAAATCTTTTTAGTAAATATTTACATGTACCATTTATTTACCTAAGCAGAGCTGTGTATTAATGTTGAAGACATAAATCTGACAATGAAAAAAATAATAATTCAGTTACTGATGGATAGTTTCATTTGAGATTACTGTTAACTTCAATGGGTGTATACTGAGCCAATAGAAATCTGCATGAAATTTTGATGTTTGAATAAATCTGAATTTGATATAATTTGAATTTCTTTGAAAAAAAATTCTGATTGAAACTTCATTATTTGGAATACATTATATAGCAATATATTCATTAGTAGATTTGGTATCTTTAAAAGTTGGAATTTTGTGATCTCTAGGATTAAACACTTAATAGAGATGCCCCATTTCAGCCTCTTTGTCTAATAAATAATTTGTTAGATACAAAAACTGTTTTCTGCCATTACATGTTATTGATTTTTAGCTAATTTTCAGAGAACTACAGCTCTACGCACTGAAGAGAAAAATGTTCCCCTTTTCACTCTGTTTTTCTTATCATTAATCAAGACCAGTTGTAATTGTGTTTGTTTCTTCATAATGGACAAAGCGGTCTGAGCTACAGAGTAACTGATCCAAAACAATCTTCAAAATGCGTTCTCCAGGCCACCTGCAGTTCTTTAATTCTCTTGATATAATGGACGGTGATAGAAGCTCTGCTCTTGTCACAGCAGAACGGAGCATTTCTGTATCAAAAAGCAACTCAGTGGAATGCCACCCACCCATGAATGACTGGCTGAGATGACGTTTTCAGTTGTCACTGATTTATGGACCAAGGTATCACTGTTGAGCTGTGTTGATGCTCCTGTACTGACTTCCAACAATCACATTTCCGAATGATTTTTGCTGCCATTATAGACATGTAGCTGAAGACAAGAACCACAGGAAATAATCACAGGGGAACTATTAAGAAAGAGAAAGGAAAGAGAAATAATTATCAAGCCTGAACAAAATATACTGAATTAGCTCCACAGAACATTCTTTTGGTCCTAGATTCAGTCCATGTACCTGTCAGTTTATCAGGGAAAAAAGCAGTTTGAAAACTGGACAAAATATCTTATTTTCAAACTATCTGAAATGTCTCTCTTAAGGATTATCCTGTGTCTAGTCCACTGACAATTCAATTTCATCTGGACTTTCCAACGGCGATAACATCTTCTTAGATCACCTCACATTCTCTTATATTCAGTGTACGAGCTAATTTAATATTGATTGAATATTTATTTAATATTTTCTTTCACTATTTCAACCCATCCTTTCCATTTTCCGAATTTTTATTTTTTTTTCTCATGAGTCCTCAATCCCCTTCTAGCAGATACTCACCATCTCACATAACAAAGAGGTCTTAGAAAGCTTTCCTGCGCTGGCAAATTACTTGCATCGTGGCTTACATCAATTTCATCAGTGCCTGTCTCTCTTGACCATTCCAGCATCCACACAGGAATTTTGCTCCAGCTGTGCAAAATATATATTGTCCTTTCTTCCACTCTGGCCAGCAGTCTGGAACAGCCAAATGGCCTATTCATGGGCCTATATAATTTGCAAATTAGTATCACATCATATCCTTGCAGATTGTTCTCATCATCTCTATGATTTGCCTGTACTTTTTGTGATAAGACTCATTAGATTTCTATAGTTCAGGATGCAGAGTCCAGTTTCCCAGGGTTAATGGAGTCAATAGATACCTAGTAAACATAGTCAGCAGAGCCTAGGATGCCACACCTCTTTTCCTGAAACAAACATCTAAACTATGTTAGAGATAATACACTCTGAAAATGTTTCTGCCTCTCCGTTGACTTTAAAAAGAACTAACCCAACTCGCTCAGCTGCAGACTTTTATTATGCTGAATACTAACTTATGTGATTTGTGTTCCCCCCTTACTAACCACATCTTTGTTTCCATCAGAAGTCAGCAATGAAAAAAGTAAATATCACCATGTAAACAACAAATTATAACAATAATTGTAACAATGTAAAATGTAAACAATGTAAAATGTAACAATAAATTATAAAGATCTCTAATCAAAATACTGACTGTGAAATAATCTTCTCAGAGAAGTAATAAAAAACTATTACTAAAATTAGTAACAAAGGCTTCACATAAAGCAGTTTCTTGCCACTGTCTAAACAAAAATTACCAAAGTAGTTGAAACCCGCAGGTCTTCCATAAACAAGTTATTTCCAAGTTTCTATTCCATATCTTCATATAACCACAGGGTAGTTATGCTGATATTATTGCGTTATGCAACTGAAGTGGTGTAAGGAAAAAAAAGAATGGAAACTGAAACTACGATACTGAAGGCTGGCTTTACATTTTTCTGAAAGCTTTTGTTAGATTGGCAATAATTATTTTTAATTGGAAAACACAAAGTATTTATTTATTTTCCCTCCAGGCAGTTAAATATGAACACTATTAGGATGAATCTTCTGTCTTATGAGTATCTTGAGTGAAAAATGGTTGGTTTTGATAAATGTACAGTAATTTCTCTCGCTGAAAGCCCTTCAGTTTCTTAAGACCAGTTCCCTACTTTGGATCTTAAAAGAAAAAAAGGTTTTAAATCAGTCTCAAAGATAAACGAAGAAAACAATGCAGAGGATGTCCTTAGTTTTAAAACTCATACTTCTGAGAAAAAAAAAGTTTTCTTCCCCAGACTGAAATGACACGAGTACTCATTTTACTTTATATCTTTTCCTGGAAGAGTTTATTCCTATGCCCCACAGACTACTAATCGTGATGGTCATTTCAGTTCAGCGAAAGTAGTTAAGCAATACGCAGGAGAAATATGTTCTTATTTATAGCAATACCGAAATAGTAACCACACCAGTAATCCAGTAATATTCCAGTAGTATTTATTCCTCACAGTCTTTTAGTTACAGCTTGAATGAGAGGAAAGACTGCACTATGTTTTCATTGCTGCAATTAAACGTGCATCCATCTATAAAAAATTAACAAACTGTTATTGACTGTTATTTTTTAGCTTATGGTCTCAAAATCATGCAATATTATTTCTACAGTAGTGGATTTGATCTTGCACTGCAAAAAAAATCCCTAAAACTGCTGTATGGTTCTGTGGCAAGAAAAATATAACATTTTTGCTTGAAATTTAACAGTCAAATGGCATTGCAGGTAAGGGTCATTGAAGTGCAGCAAAATAAACAAGGAATGAGCCATGCTCTAGAAATGATACTCACTGGAGAAGATAAAAATGTGTAGGTTAAGAGATCAGAAGAACAACACTTTTTAGATGTTACTACAGTCTTTTCTGAAATGCTGATAGCAATGGAGTAAGCAAAGAGCTATCTCACAAACACAATAAACTGTTACATGGACATGGAAAGTGAAACGAAAACAAAGTGCAACAGAAGAGAAGCAATTACTGAAATCACTGAGAAAAATCTTGATAAAAAGCAATACTCACACAAAATAAATTATTCTCAGTAACTTTTGACCTTATATTAAGGTTCTTATTTGTATGTAATACTTCTCCTACAGAAATTCATAGACATCATAGCAGCTAATAGAAGAAAATTCCGGAAGCTCTTTTATGTTACAGCCATTAAAGGATTAATCACATTCAGTCAATGATTGTATGGTTGTGTATTCCCATGCAGCAGTGGCACATCTTTAACAAACAGTAATGTTTATACCTGATCTGCCTTTCTGAGAGCTCATCTTTGTTATTTGGCCTTTGATTAATTAATAGTGGCTAGATTAGAAAGCACAGTGGTGTCTCTCACAAAGACAAGGTGGTCTAAAGATACAGACTGAAGTACTCACATGGTTCAGTCTGGTTTCATTTATTCAGTAGGATAAGGCACACAAACTCATATTCCCTGAATTGAAACCACAACTGCAGCAGGCTCAAAAGCAGCATAGTATGGCACTGTGCCTGACTAGAGCTCTCAAGAGCAGAAAGAGATAATCTAAATAATTTATGGCAACATCAGAAGTATTTTCTTTGGCCAAAGTGTATAAAAAAAAGTATATAAAAAAGCATTCATGAAAATAAGGATCAGAATCAAAATCACTTACTATATATATGTAAAATACTACTGATCTCCAAAATAAATAGAGATTTTTAATGACCTATCAAATTTCATTCCTTTTGATTTAAATAATAACCAGAAGACTCCTACCAAAATGCTCAAACATTCTCATGTACCATTAGCAATACAGTTAAATCACAGCAGCGTTAAACATCTCATAAGGAGCTCAGCCAACCTACAAAATTACTTTTTTATCCTTTCATTCCCTAGAAAGCTTCCACTCAGCTCCTGTCCATCTAATTTCCATAGCCATCTCTGGGAGTCTCTGAGCAACTGTGATGAAACCATGGGGGACTGACAGCACTGACAGAAACCAAGCTCAGTATAGCAAAAGTATTTGTGAATGCAAGTTCATGAAGAGGCACAGAGCTATAGGGCTTTTTAGACAAATCAGATAAGGGAGAAAGAACAGACTTTACAGCTGTTTAGGTACTCTCCTGTACTTTGACTTCTTTGGATAGAGCAAAGTCCTGCTCATTGCACATAATTTGTTATTTCCCTCCCAGTTCTCAAGAACACCAGGCAAACAGTGCTACCTCTGAATCATATTTATCAGAGAAAGAGATTACTTCTCTCCTGGAGAACCAGGGCAAAACAAACAGAATTGTGAGTCACAGCTCTTCCTCCAGTCTGTTCTGAGGTTTTTGACTCCTGGTCCAATGCGAAGTCCATAGAACATTTGCTCTACAGTTGTAAAGAGGCAGGATCACTTCTTTGTCGTGCCTTTTACACAGCCAGTGGACAAGTTCCAGGCAATAGACCTCTCTGGAGCACTCCATCTGCTAACGCAGCTTCACTCTTGCCCCACTGACACAATCTCATAAGGATCTATAAATAACCAAAAGAATTCACTCAGTGCTGAAATAAACACAAGGGGACAGATTGTATTGGTGTAGCTGAAACAAGGAATGTGTTTGTGCTGATGGCGTTCATCTTACGATCAGATTGCAGCAATGGGCAGATGTCTGTAACACACTGACCTAGAATACCGAGGAGAGGCAGAAGTCAGCTACTGTGTGATCTGCACTTACAATTGGTAATTAGGAAAATAAATATGTATTCTTTAGCACACAGCAAGGTTAATACTGACTTCTGATCCATTCTCTGAAAATCACAAACAACTTTTAATTGTAAAAATTTCTTTATTTTCTTACACTTGGACTCATCTACTCTGAAGACAATGCAGATAAAGCACTGCATCGACCTTCAGCACTGGCCATCTGTTTGCTCAGCCTTCCCAGTACTGCCTGCATCATCATTTTGAAAAAGAAGATCCAGGAAGAGTAGCTGAGCACCCCTGAATAAAATAATAAATGCTTCACATTCCCTCTGTTCAAACAACGCCTGCAGCCAAAGAGTGGGTGACATTACTGAGAACAACAACATCTATTCAAATTTGTAAAGCAAGCATGCTTCCTCCAACACAATAACTACACTGAATGAGCTGTTAGCTTAGCTCGCTTCCACACTTTGATGTATACAGTTAGAAAAAGTCAAGCATACCAGTAGTCCTAGACTTGAGTTTATTAGCTCAAGAAATGTTTTCAATTTCATATAGAAAAGAACCAAAAAATGTGACAGCTTATTTTATTTACTTAGCTTTTTCTGATTGAAAGAAGTGACAGCAAGCATTAATTTATCTTACAGTTACAAGGAGATCTGCAGAGAGCTCTGAATGCCTAAGAATCATCGCTATTAGTCCACATAACGTAGTCTTATTCTTTGTCATATTCACAGTTGACATCACACAACACTTAATTCTATGGAACATATCACCTAACATGGATACATCATGTGCACTTTTCTAAAAGATCAGGGCATGTGATACTTATCTCACTATATTTAGGCCTGCAGCTGAGGTTGAAGCCACTCAAAATAATTTTGTCAAGTAAATCAGTCACTGAAATGATGCGATGCTGGCAGTGACGGAATTCTAGTGTGACAGAACAACTCACGAAGAATTGTGAGCAAGAAAATGCTTTACTCCAAATTTTTCAACTACCCAGAAGTTACTATCTTAAATGGAGAAAAGAAGGATGGAAGCAAGAAAAAAAAAAACAGACCTTAGCTGACCCAGACCAAATTTGCTTTGGGAAGGAGGATGCTTTTTTGGATAGTACATTTATATTGCATTGTTCACTGAAAAAGCTAAAAAGTATTCTTGCTGCAATAGGTAGCAATAGGATCACAACATCTAAAATATTTTATTTTTCCCTGTAAACTACAAAGAATTTGCAACCAAATGTTGCCATTGGATATGCAATGTCTCCAGGCCAATTTCTGTCAAGTGAGCACAGCAACTCCACAAAAATACAAAGATATAAACATATATATGCTATCCTGTTAAATATTTATTGAAGCACTCCTCAAGAATTTCTTCAAAATTTTCCAAATCTCTAATCAGCTATGGAATAGTTTACAGTACTTAGGAACTTTTAATAAAAAGTATTTATG